AAAGTGAACATGTAGCGGATTGCTACGTTAGTAAAGCCTGACCGACTCAGAAATCCCTATGGCAGATCCTCCTACATCTAGCTAGACTCTTAGAACCAGCTAAGCCATAGCCCAGCTATGAAAGGAATCAGAGCAGTAGCACGGAGCACGTTTATTCAGTACGGGTATTGCGGATAAAGTGTGTACACGCAGGGAGCTACTCATGATCAGGATGGGGGATTAGGTTAAAAAGAGGTTGATGATTGGTCACTGCTTGTACGGTCGCTGCACACAGAGTTGTACGCCGCACCTCCCAATCCTGGCGAGCAGACATGCAGGCATACGATGACGCACACAGCGATAACGTGTCCACAAAGATGGTCATCTTAGGCGGATCCATATAGTTGATAATAGAATAGATGATGAAAAATATTAGTAGTGCAGTTGGTGAATCTATTCAGTCAATTATGGATAAACATCACAACAAGGGATTTGGAAACTGAGATGGAATTTGTGCCATGAAGCAGCTTCCTCACTTCAGTTAAATTTCAGTTGCACCAACATATCCTTAATTAACTAGAAGGCGTTTTTTTCGCAAATATATGGAAGTTCTTGCCACCGGTCCTATGCCAGAAGCCTTCAAGCAACCCTCATCCATGGACACTAGTTTTGATGGAGTTCTGATCAATCACGCCTAAAACCTCTCCCCCCCCCCTTTATAATACTACAAATTTGGGTCGTATATTAGAAGCGGGTGGAAGATTAAGTACTCTCATGTGATACGACCACAGTTTCGATTCGTTTGCCAGCTTTGAATCCTGAGGCGACTTGGATCCTGCCCAAGTTCCGCTGAAACGGCAACCTTGACGCTAAAAGACGAAAGCTGAGTAGGCTACTTAGATGAGAATAGCATTTTAGTAATTTGGTCTAGGAAAGCATTGATCCAGGTTCTTTTGCCTGATTATTCAAATTCTGACCTGTTTCTTTTGAAACCAGCACTGACCACCTTAAAACCAACTCGAGAAGCAAAAGTGGCCACAAGAGAACTTTCAATTACCAAGACGATGTTTCAATCCCTCCCAAAAATCAGCATTTAATTAATGAAAAGTATCATTATCACAGCAGATTGTTAGTTGAAATTGACATGAAACGGAATAGTTTGGCTTTTAGTTAATGTTCAAAGCTGAAGAAATGGAAACACTGCTTCCAAACAATCCAAAAAAACAGTTGAAAGCGTAGCTACCGTAATTCTAATTTCAGTTAAATTAAATTCAAGTACATTTCCTTTATCCCAGTTGGCGGAGACACGCATTTTTACCAAAGATAATAGAAGACGAGGAAGTTGTCAAAACAAATTCACAATCATTGAAGAAGTAAAATTACATTTCGGCTGAAAAAGAGATGTGACGAGAGAATATAAAATAAAAGCTATCACTTTCAGGTGGAATCAGAAGGTGGAGGAGGGGGAGGTAAGACCTCAATTCCAAGTTGTTTCAGACCCTGAAAGAAAAAGATAACTTTAAACGTCCAAATTTAAAAATAGTAGGGGTTGAGCAATTATTCAACGAACAGTGATTTTGCGAAACTGAAAAATATAACAATCTCACCTTGACTAGAAATTGCGTGGAATTGGCTATTTTTGGAGTGGCAACGTCAGTTGACCGCACGAAGCCCAATTCAACGGGAGCAGAAGCTTTTCTACTCACATTGCAATCGTCTCCTTGCACGGAGGACATCAGCGACTCTTCTTGCAAACTCCACTCCTCGTGTAGTCGCTGAACAGCATGAAAGTGGGCCAAAAGCGAATCGAAGTCCACTTTGACGGCATGAGAAGTAGAACTAGTGGGTAAAAAGATGATGAAGACCAGGTAAAGCAAAAGTATTTTTTTCCTACAAATTTAAAATATATATATATATCGACTCATCTTCATTTACCTATTCGGTTCTGTGAGCATATGACCTGGAAGACACTGGAGCCGTCTTCTAAGAGTGTCAAAAGCGTCAGTTTGTGGAAGGCACATAAGGAGACAGTAGAGGGTCTCTTGGAGTGCTGCACTATGGCGTCTGTCCACAAGATGAAGTCGCAACCCTGCAGACAAATGACTTCAATTAATAAGCACTTTTGATGAAATTGAGCAAAAAACAAGAACACACTAACTTGCAAACACCGGGGACTCAATTAATTGAACCAAACGATCCAATTCCATTAAGACCTCAACCGACATTGTCAAATCGCCACTAAAAGGGAAACAATGGGAAACGCGGTTAACTTCAACAAAACGACCTTAGTAAAAAAAAGCAAAAAGCCAGCAAGCAAATAAGAGCGTACAAAGACTTGACAAGAACACAACAGTGAGAGTAATTCTGAGTAAGGAGGCAGAGAGCGAGAAGGGCCACAGGATTGTGACACCAAGCCCGATAGAGTTCTTCAAACAGATTGGCTTCCTTCTACAATGCAAAAAAAAACTAGATGGAACTAGTCCCCCCTAACACTTTGCCCCCCCCCCCTTGTTATTAGGCGCAAGCTTCACCTCAAGGTCAATGTTGTGAAGGAAATCGCGGAATGTAAGGACTGACGGTTGGGTTAGGAGAATTTGATTTAGCATCTTCACTATATCGAAGGCTTGTTTGGGGTTGAGGAGATTGGAGATTATTAACGCCATTACGTAGTATACAGATTTAGCACCGAGAGCGAGACAAAGATCGCTGCAAAGCAAAAACGACAGATAGAATACAAATCACTTCGGAGTTCTGGAAACTATCTTCAATCATCTCACTAAGCAAAGAATATTCCTTTCTTTTCAATCACTTAGCAAGGGTGTGTGCTATTCTAACTGAATATTAGCTAAATAAGAAGACAGGCAATAATCAAAAGTTTAGCGTTCCAATAGTAATGCAGAATACAAAAGTCTTACCAACTCGAGCCATCAACGCAACCACGAGGAGTGGCTGAATGATTTGAAATCTGATGAGTAAGTAGCAAACGCAGACATCGCTCAAAAGTATACTAGCTACCGTTAACCTGATACTAGGTACCTCTTTAGTGATTGCTACAACTATTCTAAAGTTTCCAAATGGGTAAAAGTTGTCATCGGCAAATATAGACCAGGTACTCAGACTTTCTGCCTCCTGTCGTCAACAGAAATCACTCAATTTCGACTTCCTTCAAGTCAGAAGGGATCACTGGAATGAAGGCTTTCATTGAGGGAGACGATTGGAGAAGCCAGATGTCTGGTGCCATGGGTGCTTTCACTTTAACTCATAAGAAAATACCCTTACCACCTTCTCCAGACAACATTGAGGAAATTCAATGAAGAAGACCATGATTTGAATTATTAATCATTATCCTTTTAGTCTTCTATAATATGCACAAAGACTTCCGACATGGAAATGCAGTCCAGGGGAGCTGGGATTTCTATGTATACGGACTCACGTTATAATTAAATTCCCTTTTTCATTAAGCATCCCCGGATCGGTGATGAATCGTTGGACGAGATCATAGAGAAATCGGAGACAAAGGAGGTTTGCACGCTCACGATCAGCTGCAGAGGCACTATCGACGCTACATGCTCCGCTCACCAGAGTGGTGAAGAGTCGTTGCACTGAAGAAACATTTGTTCCCCTACTTCCACTCCTGTCCTCCTTCGACGAAGATGCGACACGTTGAGCCACTGGATGTTTACACAGGCTGCCTACCAGGGACACTGTGGAATGAACAATCTAAATCGATTGAAGGGATTCGTAAGAAAGCTTCCTACTAATCGGCTTGAACATCTGCATTAAACCTCGCTTAGAAAGCTCCATTTCCACCCCCCCCCCTCATTCTATGTCAAATATCCTCTTGGCAAAACTGTGGTCTGGTTGCTCTCAAGAGAGTGGGGCAAATGATAGGATTCAAAGGAACAATTTAACTCCACAAGTACACTAAATCCCCTGCACTAATGACTACAGAGCAACAACACTTTAAGACAAAAAAAACATGAAGACTCGCCTCTACAGAGGGATCCGAAAGAAGTTTGAGCAAATACGGCATGAGGTCTGGGGAATTATTGAAAACAGCTTCGGGATTTACAGCTAGCAGAACTTCAACCCAACGTAGAGCTGCAAGGCGCGTGAGAATTGAGAGGTGTCCAAATGCGGTGTAAATGATTGTCAGAATGGCGGCGTAGTCGAACTCACTAGCACCGTTTGCATCTGCTTGACTACAAAGAAGAAGGGGGTTAGGATACTTGTCTTAAGAGGGTATTATTAATTCTTGCAACCGAAAGAGTGGGCGAAATTGGTTTTATCGAATCAGCTTGAGGGATTTATGGTAAAACTTCAGGTGTATTAGGCATGGCAAAAGCATCATTGCTGCCAATCGGATCTAAAGTCACCAATTAGGAAACCAGCAGTACAAATCCAGTAATGAAATCAACCTTGTACTCAAAAATTGTTGTAGATAGACTTACCTCCACGTGGTGCACCCTGGGCAACGT